GAGGAGCTTATGAGGAACCTTCATGAGGAGTCAAGTGATATGTCCACAGCTTCAATAGAAAGATGCCATTAAAGCCCCAGAGGAAACTCATCACCTGATAATGTCATCATGCTAATCACAGAACTTCCCTGATCAACCCCTAAGAGATGTCATGGTCATCATAAATCTGCATGTGTCGGGGTTGGAGTGGGATGAGAGGTTAAATTTGAAAGTAAACTTTGTCTAACATTCAGCCGCATTCCCTTTGCAAATAAAGAAAAAGTATTTTGGTAGCAAACTGAGGAAGGATTGAAGGAAGCCTAATTTAGCCTAATTTTCAGTAACAAAAGTAAAATGTTCCTTTTTCATCAAATACTATTTTATAATGAGTGTTAGTATCTATTGAACTACTTTTTTAAAAAAATATCAAACTTTGGATTTTCTTTCTGGATGAAATTTTTTTTAAATCAACACTCATTCCTACCTCAGCCTTTACTCATGCTGCTTCTTTACACAACAAACTCTCCTGCTTTCCTCTCCTCCTTGCTCATTCTTTAAGGCTCAGCTTGTTATGCCTCCTCCATCCCTATCAGCTAATGTCCGTACTCGATGCCACCTTTCTCTAGCTGATTTTGTACTTACTGTCTACACCTCATAACTTTATAGTCCTGAGTTTTATTCTCTAACTGTTCATATTGAATAATGCAATGCTTTATTCAATTCTATCTTGTTTACTAGCTACTTAGGAGTGGGTATGTCTTATATCTCCAATTAATGTATAAGTTCCTTGTATTTAGGGTCCGTGTCTTAAATTTCTTGTAGTTCTATCCTTCTACCTAACACAGTGCTACAAGTACAGGTGGAACTCAATAAATACTGCCATTTTAATTGATAATATATTCTAATAATAAAAGTGGGTCTGCATTTATCCAGAGAGGTGTTAGCTCATCTAGATCAGACATTCTTCATCTTTTTTGTGTGTCATGGGCCTCTTTGGCCTGGTATGGACCCCTCCTGAGAATATTATTTTTAAATGCATAGCACAAAATACATAGAATTGCAAAGGAAACCAGTTATATTGAAATATAGTTATCAAAATACTTTTCAAAGATAAGTTCGTGGACCCTAGGATAATAACCCCTGCTTGAGATGGTCTGACAGTAAGCGCTTTGAAGCCAAGAGTCATGTTTTATTCAGCTTTGTATTCCTCTCAGTACCAAGTATAAGACTCCATGGCAGGTACTCCAAAAATGTTTGTTGAATTTAATTTTATTGTGTAATCAAATATGGAGTACAGTGGAAAGATCACTGACTTGGAGTTAGAGGACCTGGGATCAAACCCCACCTCTGGAACTTATTATCTATGTGACCTGGGGTAAGCCAATTGACCTCTTTGAGTCTGTTTTCTTATCTATAAAATGAAGGGGTTGGACTAGTTGACCTTCTAACTCCAGATTTATAATTACATGAAAGAGAGATGATTCCTTTCTAAGAACCAAGCAATCATAGGATTGAACTATTCTAGAGGTCATTCTAGAAGTCATTAAGAGTTTCTCCTTAGAAAATTTGGTTACTACCCCTCATTTTTAAACATACTAAAGTGAAATACTGTAATGAAGAGAAAGCTTGGAACCAGTCATCTTTGCACCATTCCTCTTTTCATTCCATATATGTAGGGTTAGACTTGTTTCTCTTGGCCCCAGAGGGCAGATCCAAGGAGCAACAGGTGTATATCACAGACATATTTTAGTTCGATGTTAGGAAGAAAAAAACCTCATAATTAGCACTACTTAAAAATGGGATTTGGACACGTTAAGTTTGAGATTCCAACAGAACATCAAAGTACTGGCTGAGTTCAGTCTATACTCAGCAGTATGTTAGAAAGGTGACATTACAAAATGTTGAAGATACAGAACTTAACTACAAGAAACATACAAGTCACTTGGAGAGACACATACCCATGGAACAATGGGTTGCCTCTGGAAATAAAGTATTCTCTATTTCTGCTGCTTTTCAAATTTGAGCTAGATGACCACTTTTTAAGGATATGGTAGAGTGGAGGTGCAAACACAAGGCCCCAACACTCCTGGGTGTAGCCCAAACCAGAAAGTAATGTAATTGGGAAATAATTAACAAAATAAATAAAAATATAACAAAATACAGATATTACATTTAAAGCAAAATCAATATATGGCCCTCAGGGAATGTTATGCATAGTTTGTTGGCCCTGTTTCTATGTGAATTTAACACCACCTTTGTAAAGAAGAATAGGAATTCAGTTATAGGTTGAACCAGGTGGCATCTGAGTTCCTTTCAGACTCTAGAAGTGCATGATTCTATGGTCTGTAACCCAAATGGTCACCAAATCCTATAGATTCTCCCTTTAAAATCTTTGCTTTTCACCTCATTCCCATTGTAATCACCCCAGTCCAGGCTTCAAACTGAATTCAGATTACTGTAGCAACCATCTAGCTGTCCTCCTTTATTAAAGTCTCTCTCTGCCTGGTCTATCCGCTACATAGCTGTTAATCTTCCTTAAACACCATGATCAACTTGTCACTCCTCTGCTCAGAAACCTTCAGTGACTATTTTAACCAGCATTACTTGGCATCATGGAAAGAGTGCTTAGATTGGGAGTCAAGAGACCTGGGTTCTAGTCCTGGCTCTACCAATAACTAGCAGTACGACGCAAGTCATTCTACTTTTTTCATTCTCGGTTTCCTCAAATGCAAAGTGAGGAATCTAGTCCCAACCAGCCTCATGAACTCCAGTTGCCAACTGTCTGCTAGAAATCCCACCTTAGATGTCCCATTGGTGTCTCAACCTTAACCTTAACATGTCTAAAATGAAGTTGATCATCTTTCCCCCAACACCACCCTCCTCCAAACTTCCCTTTTGCTGTCATGGGCACTACCATAGTCCCAGTTGCTCAGGTTCATCATTTCATAGTCACATTTGACACTTCCCTCTCCATCAACATCTCTCCCCCAACCAAAGAATTGTCCAGTTGGATTACTCCTGTCTCCACCATGTCTCTTAAATCTGTCCCTTCCTGTCCATTTATACAGCCACTACCTTAATTCAGGTCCTTATCACTTCTCAGTACCTATTGCAATACCCTCCTTATTATACAAGAAGCCTGATCCTGCACAAAGGATCTGGGTTCAAATCCCAGCTTTGCTACTTATTACCCATTTGATCTTGGATGGATCCCTTAGGTTTTCTGAGCCTCGGTCCCATCATATCTTGGAAGAAGGGGCTGGACTAAATGACTTCTAAGGTCTCCTCCAGCCCTGCTTCTAGTCCCTTTCCTCTACCATCCATCCTCCAAAAGGTCACCAAAATAATCTCTTTTGGGGGGGGCAGCTAGGTGGTGCAGTGGATAGAGCACCGGCACTGGAGTCAGGAGGACCTGAGTTCAATTCTGGCCTCACACACTTGACACGTAATAGCTGTGTGACGTTGGGCAAGTCACTTAACCCCATTGCCTACAAGAAAAGAACAAAATAATCTTTTTTTTCCTTTAGGAAGAGAAAACAGTATGAGCAAAGATGTGTAGGAGGGTATGTATGACTGTAGTAAGTTCAAAAGCTACTAATGAAACTATCCTGAATGAAAGATCCATATTAGGGGGCAATTGTGAATAATACTGGGCAAGCAAAAAGGAGCTAGATTGTTGAGAGCCTTGAATGCCTGACTGATGAATTCCAACATAAAATTATTAGAGAAAGAATGGACCTTTGAGATAATTTAGTTTGAATGCCTCATTAATTAAGCATTCATTAAGCTCATGCTGTATGCAAGGCACTATACTTGGTACAAGGTCTGAACTTGTCTCTACCTGATCAAAACTGTTCAGTAGATCCCTACTACCTCTAGGATAAAATATAAATTTCTTAGCCTTACATCTAAGGCCCTCTGCAATATGACTGTAACCAACTCTTCCAGCCTTATTTCATATTGCCCCCCTTCATACTCTGCATATGCCAGCCAAAGTGAACTACTAGCTACTTTCTAAATTCAACATTCTCTCACCCACCTAGGTACATTTGCCCAAATCATCCCTCGTGACTAGAATGTATTCCTTCCTCATCTCTGATTCAAATTACTCTTTTCTTTTAAATCAAGGGCTTCCTCTTTCCCTGGTCCTACAGTTGTTAATGCTATCTCCTTCCTTCAATTACTTTTCAACTGATTACTTGCATATGTATATTACATATCCCACTCATACTCAGTTCCAGTAGAATGTAATCTCCTTGAAGGTAAAAATTTTTCCATTTTTTTATCTTCATAGCCCCAGGATCAAGTAATAGAGCCTACACACAGGACAAGCTTAACAAATGTTTGTTTAATTGAAATAAAGTATTTAAACTAGATTATCTCAAAGGTCTATCCCTTCTGTAATAATTTCCTGTCTAATTTCATCAGTCAGGCATTCAAGAATCTCAATAATCTGGCTCCTTCTTGCCTACCCAACCTTATTCACAATTTCTCCCCAACATGGATCCTTCATTCAGGATACTTTTGTTACTGGCTTTTGAACATACCATGGTCATATATACCCTCCAACATATCTTTGCTTATACTGTTTCCCTTGCCTACAATACCCTGTCTCTTAATCACCTGTACAATTTCTACTCATCCATCATGGTCCAGCCTAAGTCCCACTTCTTCTGTGAAGCTTTCCTTGACTATTCCAGCTCTCATCTCTTATCTCTCAGATTTCCTACATTTGTAGTTTATACAATTAAATTAGCTTTTAATTAAATGTTTTCTTTGCCCCTTAATTTTGTGTGTGTGTGTTACTCTAATCTCTTCAATTTGTTTGTGTCCACCATTGTGAATGGAACAGTGCTGGACACAAAAGAAAATGTTCAAAAATTCTTTGCTGCTGATCGATTGTCATTTGGTTAAGAGATAAGAGAGAGGGTCATGGAGAGTGTAGGCAATATTGTTGTGGTGGTTTTGTGTGTGTTTTTTTTAAGTGGAGACATATTTGAAATGCTCATGTCTCTACATAGTTACAGGAACCTGGCCACAGAGCATGAAGCTTTAATGCAGAAGTATCTCCATTTACTTCAAATTGTGGAAACAGAGAAAACAGTTGCCAAACAGCTGCGACAACAGATCGAAGATGGGGAGATTGAGATTGAACGACTGAAATCAGAGGTAACCACATTCAGCATGCCATTCTAATCATGATAAGATCAAGGAATGATTTGGCTTAATTTCATCTTTAACTTGTTTATTTTCATGACCATACAAATCATTGAAATGTATAGGTAATCTCTAAACCATCTTTTTCAGTATCCTTCAGCAAAACCTTCACCAGAGCTTCTGATAATCTAATGAATTTTGGCTTGGAATTTCAGGTCCTTTTATTCCCATTCTTTCCCTAAACTAAATCTCTGGTGAACATGAAAATGAAAAGCTAAATGCCCCGAAGACAGGAAGCAGGAAAAGTAAAGAACCCAAGAGCCCTACATAAGCCTCAAACTGGATGGTTCAGAAATGAATAATATTAAAATGACTCTTTGGGAAAGGATGGGTGGGGGTAGTGAGTCTAACCATAAAAAGTGAAAGAGAGTCATCTGTAATTCTCAGCAAAAAAAAGAAACTGATAAAGCCACCAAATATTAATTAGATTTGCTAGGAGTGAGAGAGGGGAAAAGGGATTGGATTGGAAGAAGAATGGATAGGAAGAAGGGAGAGTATGGAGTGCTAGGGGAATAAACATATGGAAAGTCAACATTCCAGATGACCATTCAAAAGAATATATGGTTTAGCTGACTACACTTTATATTGTTGCTACTGATCAGTCGTCTCTGTCATGTCCAACTCTTTGTGACCCTATTTAGAGTTTTCTTGGCAAAGATACTGGAGTGGTTTGCCGTTTCCTTCTCCAGCTCATTTTACAGATGAGGAAACACTTTATGCCATCCAACCTTTATTAGGAATAATATTAGCTTATAATTGCACAGTGTTTATGGTTGTAAAGTACTTTACATAACTTTTTATTGGATCAAATCTCATTCAAAGTGTTTAATATTACAGCTGAAAGGCAGTGAGGCATAGTAGATAATGAACCTGTCTTGGAATAAGGAAAATCTGGGCTCAACTCCTGCTTGTATCACATACTGACTATGTAACCCTGGACAAGTCACATAATACTTCCCAATCATCTAAGTTGCAAAGAAAGCATATTGGCAAAAGAAGACTCTTCATTGGAGGTTCTCTTTCCTAATGAAATCATAGCTTCAGTCTTCAATATTGTAGTACTCAATTTCACAACTAGATAATTTCATATAACATGGTGGAAAGAGAAAATAAGACTTCATTTCAAATGCTGCCTCAGAAACTTACTAGCCATGTGACCATGGGAAAATCATTTAACCTTTCTCTGTTCCTCAGTTGCCCTATATTTGAAATCATTCAATGGCTTCTAAGTTCCTTTATAGCTCATAATCTATAATCGTATGATCCTATGAAGGCCTGGGTTTAGCTACTAACTACCCTAAAACTTGGTGGATATTTTAACTCACCTGTCTGAGCTTCCTGAGAGAAGAGATCGTATTTGTATCCCCAGAGCCTAGTGTAGTTCTTTTTGATTCATTCATTCACCTGTAAAATGAAGCTAAAATATTTTTACTGCCTCACTCATGAGTTTCTTTTGAAATCAGAATAAGATATATGACAAAGTCCTCTGTAAATTGTAAAGTACTATAAATTATCAACTATTGTTTACTCATGTAATTTTAATTTTTCCATGGTTTCAATGGTTTTTTTTTAATGACTTGGCCATCCATGGTTTCCATTTTCCACCTTCATGGTCCTTTTTTAAACACTCTAATGCCTTGTCATCTCAAACATAAGGTGAACAAATTGGAGAAAATATCCAAAGGAGCATCTCCTCCTGATGGCTAGACTTCTTTTTTAGTCCTGGAGAGGTGACTTGCCCAAGGTCACCCAAATATGACGGAATCAGACCTCACATATAGGTTTTCTATCTTTGTGTCCAGTGTTGTTCCCCCTACAACACATTGATTCTGGTGATACTCCTAAGCAGTGCTTAAAATGGCTAATTACATCCTCAAGGATGAAGCAAAAAATCTTGAGGCCAGCTTTTCACTATGATGTTTATCTCTAGCCAATGTAGCTAGGCTTCAGGCAACAGAGGAGAGTGGGGGCAACTGCTTAGCTCCATCAGTCCTCAGAGTACAGTCTGGGGCTACTGGAAGCTGAAAATTGCTAAACCAAATGGAAAGAGAGAAATGAGCAGATGCCATTCAGAATCCATACACTTTGTGTAGTATTCAGAGTTGAATATAGCCTGCTTAAAAATAGGAGACTGTTTAATGAAGAGCAGTCTTCCAGCTGTGTGGGCTCAGCGTGCTATACATAGTTCCCTTTATTTTAAGGATCTTCTCAGCAGCCCGTATCTCTAATAGTTTAGCCATTCCTCTCTAAGAAAAAAAAAATGGACCAAATTCGGAAGGTGTGGAAAATGGCATGGAACTTAATGATATGGAGATATCTTTGATCAAGAAAGTCTCAAGGGTAGCAGATTAGTACTGACTGAGCTATCAAAATGAAGAAATTGTAGTGTCATACATGGGATTATGGAGGGAATTGTAAAAGGGATCAATGAGAAAAATGAGGCCCATACAGGGCCAAAGAGTAAACTCACTAGTCACTTAATGACAGAGCTAGAACCAGAACCCATTCTCTTGACTCTCTGTCCAATGATCTTTAGTCTATATGTACCTCAGTTTCAGTTTCATAATTGATGTCTCTGTCTCTAAAGGAAAAAGAGAGCACATACCTCTGAGTCCTAATTGATTTAGCCACTTATGCTATATACCTATATCTCAAGGTATTACTTAGCTCAAAAATGACCTTATTATAATAGCTAACATTTATATCATACTTTAATGTTTACAAAGAACTTTACATATAAAATCTAATTTGATCCCCACAACAACTCTGTGAAGTAGAGACTATTATTATCCCCATTTTATGGAGAAGGAAACTAAGATGATGAGAGTTAAATGTCTTGCCCAGGGTCACACAGCTAGTGTCTGAGACAGAATTTGAGCTCAGATCTCCCAACTCGAAGTCTAGTACTCTATATAGTAAGTTAAAAGGATGCCTCATCAGTGGTCATTGCTCTACCTCTGCTTGTTTTCTGCTTGATGAGTTAAAGATTGCCAAATAGCATTGAGATTGGTTAAGAATAGGACCAAAATGAGCACAGTTCAATTCAACAAGTTAAATTTGATTTGACAATCAAGTATTAAGTGCCTACTATGTGCAGTTCATTACACTGGTCTCTGAGGATACAAAGATAAAAATGAAATCATACAAAGAGTTTACAACCATTTTGTGGGAACGGTAAGGTCATTGGATGATAGGACCATAGATTCACAACTGGAAAGAATTTTAAAGAGCATCCAACCTCACTTTTATGAATACGGAAACTGAAATCCAGAAGGGTTAAGTGGCTTTCCTAAGGTCACACAAGCAACAAAAGCATGATAAGGAAGAAGAGACACAGGCATAAATAAAAAAAATGCAAGTTAGTAGTCAAACAAAGTGGTTTGATGAATTCAAGAAAAGGATTGTTTCTAACCAGGGGCAGGGGGAAAAGACCAGGGACAGTTGAATGGAGGAAGCAGACCCTGATCCAGTCCTTGAAAGGAAGAATATTGATAGGTAGATATTTAGGGGAATAAGAGTTCTTTCCAGGCTCACAGGATGATATGGATAAAGATATGGGGACAGAAAAAAAGTCAAGATGATAACAAGTAACAGTGAGTTGTCTAGTTTAGCTGGAGTTCAAGGAGAAATTTTTCTCTAGGAGAAAAATTTTTTTTTATAAACACAGATGACTAACACTGAAAAAAATATTAGAAAGCATGGGAATAAGAATATAGATAAAACCATTATATTTGAGATCTCTAATGACTAGCTATTGCAAATGGCAGAATTGAAAATCATCCTGGAGAGAACTAGGGAAAACGATGCAGTGGAGAAAAAAATAAAGAGGTTATAAACCACACTCCAAAACTGAGACATACAAAGTTTAAATGACCTCTCCAGGTCACACAACTACTAAGCATATGATGCAAAATTATGACCAGTGGTATGTGAGTAAATGTTTACCATCCAGCTTGGAGTGGAGGGAGGAAGAATGTATGTATGACACACTTTTAAGTTTAATCTGCATTATTTACATTTTCTCCTTTACTTTCTTAAGTCTAGACAGTCAGCAAAGCAATAAATCAAGCCCAGATTTGTAGCATTTGCAATTTCTGTGGTATAAAGGCTCACACTGACAATTTAACAACCAGCTCTCATAGGCCAGTTAGAACTGGCTCCGGCATGCCTCTGATTATGAACTTAGGTTTTCCTGACTCCAGGTCTAATGCTCTATTCAGTACATCACCCAACTGACAGCCTGACAAAGGATGTTTTTGTGGTTGGAGGAATTTTCTGCCCCACGTGCTCATATTGGGTAACTCAAGTCATTCCTTATTATTTTAGGAATTAATGAGTCCTTTGACCCTCCTGTACGTGTCTTCACTTACAAGTCAACAAGGAATATTCTGAGCCTCCATTTCCATATCTTTAAGATCTCTAAGGTGATCTCTAAGATCACTTCCAGTTCAAAACCATAGAGGTAGAATTATAGCATGGTGCCATATATCCTTTCCTTCTAATAACCCAGTTTAGTATTGCCAGGCTGAAATAACAAGCAATGACAGCCACTACCCTTTTTAGGGAAGCTGAGGTCTGAAACATGTATTTATGGTTGGCTTAAATTCAGATAGGATGGAGAGAAACTGATGAGAGAGGATTTTAAAATGAAGAATAGTATTGACCACATAATAGATGAAGGGATCAAGAAGACAAGTGAGGAATTGACAACATGATTGGCTCAGATAATGAAAGAAAAGATAGTAAGAAGTTAAATTAAATGCTTTTTCATGGAACAGACTATTTGCAGAAACAACATGAAATGAGGTGCTAACTCTTCAAGCAAGAAAATTTCAGAGAATCCAGGTAAAAAACAAACTCTCCAAAGGTTATTCATAGTCTCTAGGGTAGACGGAATTCATAGTCTAACATTTTCTCAAGACAAGGTATCCTCAAGTGTACCTATCCTAATG